TACATGGGTATATTGATGAAAAACTACAAAAACTGGTCCACATGTCAAAGACTAAGTAGATCTGAGTAGGGAGTTTACATAGCAGAGTTCTGAACCACTGTGAACGAAGAAGAGATGAGACAGAGCTGCAGAGGACCCGCTGACCCTGCAGGAGACACATTTTAATTTCGCAAGCTTGTAAGATAAAATAAGATCACTTTATTGGCTATATACAATTTCTTGTATTAGGATACCCCAACTTGCTCTCCATGAGACACACAGACAGGGAGAGGAGCTTGGGGTCAGAGCGCATGTGTGTGCTGACCTGTCTGTAAAGAGACCAGTGACCGTACTCACTTGGCATAGGCCTTCTCCAGCAGGGCGCTCCAGAACTCCGAGCCCTCCGCTGAGTGGACAAACAGCAGCTCCCCGTCTCTGGTGGGCAGCCGATCGTCGATGACAACATCTACCCATTCTCCAAACTGCCAGAACTACAGAGGGGAATGTGTGCACTGAGAAACTGCTTGCACAAAACAATACACGTCTGAACTGTTTATATCCCCCCAGTGCAATATCATCCATTCTGACTTTAGTACCACACTTGTCATACATTATATGAAGAGACAATAAGGGATCTCAGAGCTCTTCACCACAGTGTGTCGAAAGCACAATGTTCTACTCCTCTTGTATTAAAGTGAGAGTGGGCAATTTAGGATGGCCAGATTACACTAACCTACACTCAGCTGGGTGGACAGTGTTCATAGGGTTGTGGGGTGCACAGCCTTGTCCCATCAAGATGTGGCATTTGCTCAGAGGGTGCTGTGCTGGCTAGCAAAGCTTGACATGTTTCCTCCTGTCCTGGGACTAATAAAGGCCAAGACACCCTCATCACCTCTTCAATCCAACAAGTCAGAGTCTCCCTGCTATTGCTTTAATTATATTAGAATTAGTTAATAATATTCACTTTGGAGGTCTGGTTCCACCAGCCGAGAGCCTAGTATAAGTGTTTAGTGTTTAGCATAGCTCCCAGAGGACACTGGTTTACATCTTGCAGCTAATAAAACCAGCAGACATTTGTTTCTATCTAAGGAAAAAAAAATTCTAGTGGTTAAAAATTGCCTTTAAGCATTACTAGATTGTACACACCAGAGAAGGCTCTCGTGCAAAAACTTGCATTTTTACAAAGGCAGCCTTGCAGCTGTTGTGGACAAATCATAATTCTTGTAAAATATAAAGACAAAAATATTACAAAAGAAATGTTAGGAATCTGAATCTGACAGTATTTATAGTTTCTGCCAGTTTCTACCAAGACTGAACTCTATGTCTAGTTAACTGCTTCTGACAGTAGGCATGTCTATTGGACAGCCAGGAGCCTTTCTGTCAGAAGACAAAATAAAGACAGAAGCATTGTAAACAACAGACACACACACACTGGTGTTACACAAAAAACACAAGCCATTAAAAACTGCACAGCTGAGGCACCCAAATGGACTCAAAATGTTTATGCTCAAAAAGGATAGATTGGGCCTCTGGGACAAAATGGGAAATATTGTCAGTGGAATGTAACTGGGATTCCCCAGGCCTCAGCAAGGAGTGTGTGATTCAGGCCTCAGCAGGGAGTGTGTGATTCAGGCCTCAGCCAGGGTGTTCCTGGCAAGCCGCCACATGTGAGCCACTCCTGCAACTGCTTAGCCAGAGCTGCCCCCCTCCCAGGCTGACAGGGCGGCATCTCTAGTGTCTTACTGCCCCTTGTGGTGGACAGGGGCTGTGTTGGAGTGTCAGATATTATTATTTTAACCTTTCATATGTTTATAAATAGAATAATAATTGGCAATCACTCTGGAAATCAATCACAAACTCTGTCTTTTTTCATGTTGTAATAATTCATTGCTGTGATTCAGCCTGACTTCCTATTCCAAGCCAAAAACTTCCTTCGACCACATTTCAGCTAACAATGAGCTGTCCAAGGGCACACTGGCACAACACTGTGAAATATCGCATGACTGTTCTATTACTGGTTTTGTAAAAATCATAAATTTTTAGTTACTGAATATCTCAACACACTCTTACTCCTCTAATTGGCAAGTGGTTCTTAAAAGCCAAGCAGCACCTGTGAGGACAGGGACAGTAATTACAGACTGTCACAGCAGCCTGACCTGGCCAGACCTCGACCACCAGGGCTCCCCATGGCTGCTCCCTAAGGGCAGGTATCTGTAAACCATTTGAATTTGTAACTCATTTCAAACAGAAGAGCATTAAATTGACACAATCAAACCTTAATAAAACTAATTTAGTCCCCTTATTTGTGTTGCAATACAAAGACACCGAAAAAGCCTGCCGGATTTGACTATACAACAAGTTATCGTGGCTGGGCCTCTGGCAATGTTGTTCTCAATACTGCACAATGTAACACAGCAGGAACACCCTGAGAAATAATACTCCCCTCACCTCCTTGTGTCTTTAGGTCAGGTTTTCAATGCAAACTGAAGGATGTACAGCTGCATACCGAGGAGGAAGCCCTAGGCACGCCAGGCTTCTTCAACAGCCCATGTCAGAGTAAGGAAAAAGATCTCCAGAGGCCAAAAGGGTTTTTGTTTTCTGCGTTACCTGGAAGTGAAAGATCCCAGCATAGTCATTTCCGAAGCCCTGTCCACTTGGCACAACTCTGGCCAAGACGTCCTCATTAAGGGTCAAGGAGGCAATGGCCGCCAGGAGCCAGCAGTCACCTGGGAGATGGAACCAAGAAAGGTCACAGAAATGAAATTTCTTTAATGAAAAAAGCATTTGCAAAATTCTTAACTAAAAAAAGTTTACAAAGCTTGTAAAAACAGCTAAATATCTTTATATTTTGTATGAAACAAAACTCCAGATAGTATTGGCTGAATCCACTACATGTTAGACAAGCTCATCCTGTGTAAACAGGACTTTACATATACAGTACTCATCTATGGTACAATCCTTTGATTCTGACTGGACCAGCATGATGTGCAAAGCCAGTTCCAGTTCCTGTTGGCATGCCTTAGAAAACCACAGCCACTGTCAAGAGCACAGAGACATGAAAGAAGGTTGCATAACTTTGTGAAAACCAATAGGTAAATCACTATTCTAAAAAATACAAGATTATTCAAACAACACAGCAGTTGTGAGCAGCAGCGAGAGTACACAAGAACTGAAACACTGCACAGATGCTATAAATCTCTTTAGTAAAACCTCTTAAGTATTGTGTTTTATAATAAGGACCAATGTTTTAAACTCAACAACAGTACAGCTTAAAAGATGCCAAGTCACATGTATACACGTATATCTATAAATCAACCATAAAAGAAAGCAGATTAGCAAAGAAAAAGTCCAACCCACAGACTCCTCACCACAAGTCATGCCCACTTGTGGATGAGTCACACACCATTTCCTCCCTGCCAACACCCCTTCAGGCCTGACGGCGGAACGCATAAGCACCAGCAAGGTGAGGAAGGAGGGGACCATCCGGTTTTCAAACTTTTTTTTTGCCCTTATACCCATCACACACTGGATCTTTAAGTAAAAAAATTTGAAGCAATTTTTTTTTCAAAAACTGAAAAACCACACAGAGAAAGACATCCTATTAGTATCAGCAGCAAATTAGCTGCATCTGTGAACCCAAGTCATGCTTCTGCTTCTGTTCTACTGAGAGCAGCTGTTGATCCACCGTTTCTAAGGCAAACACTGATCACCACCACCATAGTAACTACCAGCGACACTGCACTGACATGTGACAGGAAGTAGGGCATGGACACAAAAACAGATACTCCTGTAGTGAAACAGAACAGTTCGAACAGCTCTCAGGATTGAAAAAACAAACCGAGACTCAACTGGTTTTGTTTTAAGCACAAACTCTGGGAAAGTACTCTACCTGATGACCATAATGTCTCCTAGTCCCTTAAAACCAAGGCACTTTGAGACCAAACATTTTAACATAACTTTTATTGGGTAAATTGAGCATTTGCTCAATGAATACTGGTGCTTAATTCCCTCAAGGTAGTATAAGATAAGAATTTCCATGTAATTATAACTGCCAGTTTTCCCTGTTAAAGCAGAAAGTTTGAAATAAAGTTTTACATTTTTTATTCAACACTTAGTCCCTGGAAATATTTCATGAAGGGCTACTGAATGATTAATGCTGTCTTGTAGTCACTGAGAAGTTTAGACAAGGGTCTCGGGGCCTTGGTGACAGCCAAGTGACAATGGTAATTTAGTGCGAGAGGAACCAGCTGGATCCAGATTAGCTGAACATTTGAACTCAGAACAGGTTTTTCAAGTTGCATAAATGAGAATAAATTTACCTTTAACTAGGTATAACTACTGTTTGTTCTTGTTTGCTTTAATCCTACAAAAGGCTTTAGTAACAGACCTCTCAGTGGTCAGCTGGCGAACGCTAATTCAGGAAAAGTCACGAAAATTCCGCTGATGAATTACAACAGAGACGGCAACAGCAAATTTCATTACAGTAGTAACTGTGCAAAACATTTTATTTAAAAAATGTTCAACTGGATTAAACAGTCACCTTTAGAATTTTCCCAATATAAGATCAAGGCCCATATATTTGTATAATTACACTTATTTCTGGGGCTTAGTGGTACTGGCTAACAAGAATCTCACAAGAATCTCACGTTGGAAGCTGTAAGTGTTTCTGTCGCCTGTTTTCTTGAACAAGCTGAATTAGTTAAAATAAAATCTAATTTGGGAGCTCCAGAAGTTTATGGTATAGATCACTTTTCCAGGGTAGCACAATATGGAGCTTGCACAGAGAAGGCACTACAGATGCCAAAGAGAGAAGCTTTCCATTGTGCAGAACACATCTGTTATTCATTTGTGGGTTTTGGATTTAGTTACTTTACCTAGGCTGTGCTTGAATTACAGATTCTTCCAAAACAGAGCCATTAAGGAATCAGTATTAAAGTTGCTTCTGCTCTGAATTCCTACTCTTCTTGTTGATCGTATATTTCTGCTGTTTGCCACCCTCATTACTAGCCATGCTAGCTGGTCCTGTGCCAGTGGTTTCTGATAGGGATCTGAAAGCTGTGTGGGGAAGTGGCTTGGGGCTACACAAGGTTTTGATGGGCATTAGTAGAGACTAAGAACTGGCAGGAGTGCAACTTTCTTACTCTCCCCTTCTTCATTCCTTGGGTACTGTGGGGCTGGAATTCTACTGCATGTGAGCTGTAGAGATAGCCCACCCTGAAAAGAAAACACTACCTGCCCAGAGCTTCATGTGACACACATGCCCGCTATCGCTCCTGCTGATGAGGGTCACCTCCTCCTGCTCTGGTTGCCCACTGTCGTGCCCCCATTGCTCTCTCCTGCAGACTACCAGACTGTCACCTTTCCCAGCCGAGACAGCAGCCCTGCTTCTAGGGCCATGCAAGGATAGGGCAGCTGTGCCTGTGCTCTGTCCCTCACTCCTGTAGGTGCGCAGTCAGTACACTGGTCTGCTTGTGGCTTGCAGGCTGATCTGCAGAGCAACCTGCTGCTCCCAGGGCTCAGCCAGGCTAACCTGTTAGCCAAGTGCACAAGTGCTAGTTAGAACATCTGGAGAAAACTTTAAAAGCTTAAAACTTGCAAATGAGCTAGCTGTGCAAACTAAACTTAAAGAAAATAACTACAATGTATTGAATTAATCACAGAACTGCATGGCATTTCATTTGGAATCACAGGTCTTTTAATTTGTTTTGTGTACTAATTTGTCTTTCTAATAAGAACAAACAGGGAACTTGATCAGTTAGTTGTTTCGGACCAGGAGCTTCTACAGTATAAGCCCTGAGCCTGAGCACAAACTCGTGACATGTTTTAGTACAGGGGGCTGCGTGCCAGAATCAGCTCTGCTGCAGCTACAAGGCCTCAGGCTGTCTTCTCTCTCGGACATCCTGGGAATGTCACGGGTTTTATTTTCAACACTCCAACATTTTCACTAATAGTTTTAGTTTTTGTTTAGATGAGCAGATCATTTTTTTTTCCAGAAAGACAAGACATTTCCAGTTCTGAAATAATGGAGTCCAACAAAAGAGGAGTCCTCAAAATGTCAGTGCTTTCCGCACCATGTGTCAGGGTCTGTAAAACAAGGCGTAGGAGAGCACCGTGAAGTCACGGCAAAAGCATGGTAATGCAGAGAGAGCTGGGGAGAATACTCCTGCACAAATACAGTATCCTGCAGTACACACTGCTGAGGGATCCCTAATGCCTCCTGAAGGAACCTGTTCGACCTGAGGTGCCCTGACACACACGTTCGTCTTTGGCCACTGGACCTCCTGCTGAGGGCCCAGAGCAGTGCTGCTGGAGAGGGAGCGCTTTTTAATTGAGCACATGAGAGAGCTGGTTTACGCATAACAAGTTTGTCATGTCTGACATTCTTTTAATTTTCCTTTCAAAACCTGCCTCATTGCAAATAGCTCAACTGCACGCTCTTCTTCAGGACAATAAATAAGGAAAACATATCCTTAGTATTTGCAGTGGGAACAGTAATACCCCAGGCAGTAGGAGTGCCAGGCTGGCTAAATGATGGCAGTTGATGCCCAGAGGGCTTGGCATGAGGGCAGGGAAGCCAGCAGCAGTGCCAGGAAGCCCAGCAATGAGCAATAGCGCATGGCTGTACCCCAGTCATGAGGGGTCCTGGATCGGGGTCCTGTTGACCCGGTGGGATTTGTGTCTATTTCCCATGATCCTAAGGCTGTCTTTATAATAATAATAAACTTTATTTTATACAGCGTCTTTAAAGGTGGCTTCTCAAAGCGCTTTACAGAATGACAACAACAATAACTAAAAAGAATACATAAGATAAAACACAATTACAATATACAGAGGAGACCATGGATGGCGATACTAAGAAAAGCAGAGGAGTGAAGAATGGAACCAGTTAAGTAAAAGCGTTTCTAAAGAAGAAGGGTTTGAGTCTGGATTTGAAGGAGTTTAAAGAAGGTGACTCTCTGATATCCTTGGGCAGAGCATTCCAGAGCTTGGGGGCATAACAGGAGACGGCCCTGTCACCCATGGAATGTACATGGGCTTGGAGGACAATTAGGAGACCATAATTAGAATAATAGTTCAGACAGCTACTGAGGTGCCAAGCCATGCAGAGCCTTATAGGTGAGCATGAGGATTTTAAAGTCCACACGGAATTTGACAGGAAGCCAGTGCAAGGACTCTAGGATAGGAGTAATGTCATCACTTAGACCTGGTCAGGATTCTGACTCCTGAATTTTGGACATACTGCAGTTTGTTCAAAGTAGATTTAGATCCCCAGCAAGTAGAGTATTACAGTAGTCAATTTGAGAGAACACAAATGTGTTGATCAGCTTTTCAGCCACAGTTAGGAATAGCATAGGGCGCAGTCTAGCGATATTTCTGAGGTGAAAAAAAGATGTTTTGACAATATGCTGCACATGTGGGTCGAATGTTAAGCCAGAATCAAATATCACCCAAAGGATTTTCAATTTAGACTGAAGCTAAATTGTACAGAAACTGTAAAAAGTACAGAACCACCTACAGATACGGTTACAAGATTTGGCTTTACGAAGTTGATGGGGGATGCAAATAAGCATGACTTCAGTCTTGTCACAGTTAAGATGAAGGAGATTTTCAGTCATCAAAGTTTTATGTCAGAGGATCAATTAGATAGAATAGAGACAAGTCACATCAGTGTCAGGTTTAGTATGGATGTATATTTGATTATCATCAGCATAGAAATGATAGCTAAGGCCATGTGATCTTAAAAGATGACCAAGTAGAAACATGTAAATTCTGAAGAGCAAGGGGCCCAGTATTGAGCCCTGAGGAACACCAGACTTAACAAGACCAATTTCAGACCTATACCCATTAAGAGAGACAAAGTGAAAGCGATCAGTGAGGTAAAACTTGAACCATTTGAGAGCAGTGTCAGAAACTCCAAACAGTCTCAAGATGAGAAAGTAAGATGTCATGGTCAACAGTGTCAAAAGCAGCACTGAGATCAAGAAGCCTGAGTATAGAAAGAGAACCAGAATCAGAAGCTATTAGAAGATCACTAGTGACTTTGACCATGGCAGCTTCTCTGCTGTGAAGTTGATGGAAGCCAGATTGAAGGGGTTCAAACCAAAGTGCAATTCTAATGTGTCATGTGACTGCAGTAGACACCCCTCTCTGAGGCAGGATCCAGACACTGGCAGTGACCAAGGGCCTCCAGATCAACTGTGCACAGTTACTGGCTTCAGGATCTGGGCCTCAGGTCTTAAACTAAGCGGTTGATTTAAGAATCATAAACCCGGATCTCACACTCTGGTGTCTCTTAGTTATGTAGCTGGTTTAATTATTTAATTAGCTGCACTAATGTAATACTCATAAGCATACTCCAAATTGTCTTATAATAAGTGAGTGTTTTGAGAAATATGATGTAAAAAATCTTTTTAAAATTCCTGTATACTTTATGTCTAAGAAGACCAAGTTGTATAATTAACTAATCAAGGGAACAGAATCAAGGGAACTAATCTTCGGGGAGAGAGCTGGAGATGCCTGCCCGAACCCTGAGTTCGGACCCGTGCTCTAAATCAGCCCTGTGACTCACCGAGCGCCCCCTGGCAGATATCTGTCCTCGTGGCTCCGCCCACAATGAACTCAGGCCTGGAGCACAGTTCCTGTGAACAGAAGGGAGAGAGACACACATAAAGATCTAATTCCTTTCCAGGGAAACCTTTACTGGCTGTGGAACCTCGACTCATTAAACCAGCCAATAGCATCTGAAAGCTGTATTGCAATTATGAAAACATTGCAGCCTGCAGCTCTGCAGAAGATCTGAACATCCCTGATGTAGGACTTTATTTCCTGACTGTAACTGGTGGGACTCCATCACAACACTGTACAGCCCAAAGCAAGCACTGTCTCACAAAACCTGTACAAATGGGCAGACTGTGTCTGTTTTAACAATTTCACTCCATTTTTGGAAGCAAATACTGTTTTTCCTAAACAAATTCCGCTCGGCTTCCTAAGACTCATTATCTCCACCAGGAGTTTGGAAAAAGCTGCCCAGCCATCTTGTCAAAACCGAAACGGCAGGATTGGATTTTCAATTAGCTGCTAGCAACCAAACGGGCTAGATGGGCCAGTAATGTCTTGTACATAATAATGTTATGTTCGTACGTTTGCGCTTTGTTGGTCTGTCTTATGTTCTATGCGACTATGTGTACATTACGAGGGGTGCGTTGTTAGAAACAGAGACTCAGAAATTCCTCAGAAAAAAGTCTTAACCACTTAAGTCACAGTCTGATTTACTTATAAAAACGCAGAAAATCGACAGTGTTAATTATTGACAAGTATTACAAGTGAAAAGGTCCGACGGGTGCATCACTATTTTTTTTTTTTGCTTTTTAAACCCGATTTCCCAGAAATACATAGGCGTAGCTCTGAAACTAAAATGTAGTGACTGAAGAGCAACGCACTCCAGCTGTCACGCACTTCAGAAGATTACAGCAGGCAACACTTCGCTGGCGGATGTCCTAGTTTTGTTTGTAAAAATTAATAGTGCTCCTAAAACTCTTTCGAAATCGATGTGTTTTTAGCACTGCCAGCTGCAGTCCTGATTCACACAGTTGCTTAAGAAGGACGTAAGCCAAGTTGGCACAAGAGTTAAAATGAGCTTTTTTGACGACTGCAAAACACGCGAGCGGCTCAGAAAATGAATTAGCGGAAACAAAACGTTAATGTAAAGGAAGGAAAAAAACCTACACTTGGTCTTTTCCACTGCACTCCTCTGGTTTTGGAGGAGTACGGACCGAGCTCTTTGAATCCCAGGGACTCGGGCGCGGCTGGAAAGGTCGAGTCCGAGAAGAGCTTGCCCGCGGTCAGACACTGCCGTCTCAGCTCCTCGAAGTCCTGGTTGAGGTACTTCACCGCGTTGGAGTTGGTGCCGAACCCCGCCGCCAGTGCCCGCTTTTTGGCCAGTGTAGATGCCATGCCGGTCATGTTCGCCAGGAGCCGTTCAGGAGTACACGCAGACCGAGAAGCTTAGCCAAATTATATGTTGCAAAAGTTAAATTCCTTCTCCGCCCCTTGCTGCTCAGGCGTGGTCTTTTACAGCAAGCCTGCACCAGTTAACTGTGGATGATGTTTGTCCTGAAACAACAACCAGGTTTCTGCTGCAATCGGTAACACAGCTGTACTCGGAGCCAAGTTCTGCGACAGAACTAAGCAGGTTTTCAGTAACGCAACTACGCCGGACGAACTGCAATCTGAACAGGAACAAGCTACACAGATCTGGGTTGATGGTGCTGTTTCCTGCGCCTGTGTGTAAGCGTGAATTCCGACGCAGGAGGTGATCTATGGCACCGATTTCAAACTTTTAATACAACATTTCTACCAATATCAAAGCATCACAAGAAGAGCTGCAGGAAAACGGACACACAATAAATTATGACAGACTTGTTCCGGTTACAAACTGCAAACCAGACTTGAGTACTTTCTTGTTGGACTAGGCCCGTCTTGACTGCCATTTTACAGTACGTTTGTAGACGCTCAGCTGTTGAACTGAGGATCGCGATTAGATCAGTTCTGGTATTCCTAGGTTGGCTCGGTTCTGGTGCCCCCGGGGGTGCTGGTGGGCCGAGATGGCTCGGTTCTGGTGCCCCCGGGGGTGCTGGTGGGCCGAGATGGCTCGGTTCTGGTGCTCCTGGGTCACTGGTGGGCCAAGAAGACTCGGTTCTGGTGCTCCTGGGTCACTGATGGGCAGAGACAGCTCGGTTCTGGTGTTCCTAGGTTGCCGATGGGCCGAGATGGCTCAGTTCTGGTGGTCCTGGGTCGCTGGTGGACTGAGACAGTTTACTTCTGGTGTTCCAGGGAGGGCTGGTTCCACTACAGTGGTGACAGGGAGGAGGGGGAGGGGTAGTAAGATGGAACGGCTGAACTAGAATTTCAGACTCCAAAGCATCATAGTTTAAAGCACAACCATGGTTTAGGTGCAGCAGGAAATTGCTGTAAACAATAAACAGTTTCTTGATGTTCTTCTTGTCTGTCACAGTGTTTCAAGTCCCCTGGTACCCCAGACAGGGCTGCCCTACTCCAGTATCAGCCTGTGGGGACCGATCCTGTCTGCTCAGGACCCCAGCAGGACCAGACCTGCTCAGCTCTGGGAGGGAGACCTCTAGGGAAACAGCAGCTGCTGTAAGTGGTGCTGGTGGACCAGGGATTCTTCCCCCTGAACCAGAATTTCTGAATCATTCAGAACTCCCTGGAAGGATATAAAGTGAAATTAGAAAGGAATATCCCCCCTAGGCTTCATCTGAATCTGTTCAAGTAGGTAGCTGCGTCAGCATGTGTAGGCTGCAAAAGAATAGGTAACAGGTTTATTCCATGCTGAAAAAAGAAAGCAAACACAATGTTTTGGCTGTGGGCGTTGTGTTTCCTTTCTTTTCTTTTCAGCATGGAATAAACCCGTTACCTGTTCCCTTCATCTGAATCTGTTTGTACTGGGTGGGTAGAGTTATGCATTATGCAAGAATAAAGATCTTCAGACAACCTAAGCACATAAGTTAATGGTTCAAGCTTCTGGACAAACAGGTGCTTTGAAACACCTACAGGTAAATACCATAAAGTGTTCTCTGGTTCAGACATGTTTGTCAAGGCTCCACCCAGGTATCTGTGGCTGCAGTAAGAAGTTTCTTTCCTCAAATATGCACCTCTGTTCTCACCTGCACACAGAGTCCGTGTTGAGTTTTCAGGCCCTGGACTGAGCAGTCGGAGACAGACCGTGGCATGGGAGGCCAGCTGTGTTTCATTCAGAAGAATCCCAGCCGTTTGTTTAGGAGACACAGAGGCAGCCCTCCCGACACACTGGGAGGATGACGACACACAGACAGAGGTAGGATCTGTCCTCCTGGAGCTGTCTTCCACGATATTTTAACTCTGTTAACTCTGCATGGTAACAGACAAGATGTGGTAAAGCAATAACAAAACTGTATGGCTGCTTTGAACTCTAAATACATTTTGCTAGATGTGCAAAGATTAATCTCTTTGCAGGAGCAATATTAATAATGAATAACTTGCCAGTTTAAAAGCAGTTTGGTTTTTCTTATAATAACATACATGGATGCAATTTATAAATTATCCTAAACTGTATTGTTCTGGTGAGCTGAGAACAGACTACACATGATTTTTCCCCAGCAAATATTCATTCTGTTTCAACCAAAACAATATACAGTATATTATAAGGACCTGAGCAAAAGTTCATCCAAAGGACAGTCAGCTCTGAAAGAGAGAAGGAGTGGTCAAACGTCCCTCAGGGAACTGAGCAAGAGCCCACACCCTGATTCAAATCCACACTCTAGATAAAACGTGATCTAGAAATCCCCAGATTTTGGAAATGTAATGCTGTTGTTGCATACTGGGCTTGGCTGGGGTTCCCTGTTAACAAAGTAACTCCGGTGTTCCTCCACAGCTGTAGGCAGGGGGTGGGGTGGGGAGGATCAGGTAACCATGGTGATACTTACTCAGGGCGTGGCTGTTCACAGGGATGAAGCAGTGGGGTGGAGGGGATCAGGTAACCATGGTGATAGTTACTCAGGGTGTGGCTTTTCAGAGGGAAGAGGATCAGGTAACCATGGGGATGGTAAATCAGGGCGTGGCTGTTCACAGGGAGGAGTCAGTGCATAGAGCCCTGAGAGAAGAGTTGGGCAGCTCACAGGTGAGGCCTGTAACAGTCTTCACCCGTTTTTACCATCAGCACCTCCACTGGGCTGCCTGAATCAATACACAAATCACTAGCAGAACTGAAGCTGACAGGCATGGGCACGGGGAGGACAGTGCAGTAAGTTCTTCTGCCAGGAACGCCAGCTGAGTAATTGGGCCGAGAAGTCCTTATCTTTTAGAGATTTCTGTGCAGGTGCCCTTGTGTGCAGATGGAGACATAATCTGTCTTTAAAACTGAAGATTTCATTAAAATAAATCATTGTTTCAATTTATGTGACTAAATGAAAGGGTAATCTATAACAAGTAATTAAATAGTAAATAGTGTCAGCAAAGAAGTAGACTGTACTTTGTAGATTGCCAAATCAATAAAATGTGCCAACAAGTTGCTTATATGGTGGAACACATTATTAATGTATGAAGACTAACTAGCAGGCATTTATAAACATTTCATCTCCAGAGCTCCTATTTCTCTTCTGTTTCTCTCCTGTTTTCCTGTTTAAAGTGACCCATTTTGAACCAAAATATGAAGGAGCAGTGACAACGCTGAAATAATGTTGTTTTTGAAAATAAGAAACAATAATAAACATAATAATAAACACTAAGTACTGTAATAAAACAAAGGTACCATTGAAAAAGATTTGCATGTAGCACTGTAAACGAAACCTTTCAAGTTCTTGCAGGAATTCTCATGGCGAATTTCTTTCATTTCACCTGAGAGACCACTAGAGGTCATTTCAGATTCTTTTCAGTTTTTGTAGAAGGTATCAAAACGTCATAGTACCATTGTCTGTCATCACTTCATATAACTATAATAATAATCTGTTTTTTAAATGTCACGGCCCACATTCCTCCCCTAGAGGGCGCTCCACTACTCCTGTTATTAGTTCCGTGATTGTTGCTGTGTTCCCCTGGTGTAGCCTGTTATGTCTACTGCGATTTAAAGCCTAGCTCCTCCGGTCCTCAGGGCTCAAGATTAAGGTACGGAAGTCACGAGGCCCACCTAGCACCAGGATACCCTACGTGCTCCTGAGGGCATAGGCCTCATCCCCGACACCTCCCGTGTTCTGAGCCTGGGGCCTGGAGGACCTCGCCCCACGCAGACAGCAGCGCAGGAATGGAACCCAGGGCCCCAGCACTGAAGAGTAAGAGTAGTCAGGACCTTGATTTTCCATCTTACCTGACACCAAAGGTAGCACCTCCTACTGGAGTGTCTCCTGTCACCTTACACTGCGGAGCTGGACTTGCGGCTGCAGTTGGGTGTCTTTTCCTTGGAGGCCTCCCATCCCTGCACGGACCAGGTCCAGCCATGCTGAGCTGATCTCTGGCTGTGTAATTTCTGCCAGACACTCATTACTTTCTAATGAAATGCAGTCAAAAACTGTAGATCATTCAAGCCAGGAATTAATCTCTGTGTCTTTCTGAAACTCCAGTACCCAGTTTGTATAGTGGTTGTCTTGTCACCATGATGATGTTCTCTTTTTCATGCATGTAGATATCCTATGTTGTACACAGATGTATTGCTTCAGAGTCAACAGTCATTTTGAAACACCACCATGTTTTTGTGTCCATTATTCATACAGGGTTTGAGTTTAATCTTGTAAGAATGCTGTAAATATTGAGATTTCCCAAGAGAAGGGTATACACTAGGTATCCTAACCACTCACTGTTGCAACTCCTTACACAGTCTCTTCCCACTACTGTTGTTGGAATGCAGACAGTACAGAGCCAAGTTATAATCAAAGAGAGACGATATTAGTACACACACAAACAACACCTACACAGACTGGTGCGCACATGCGCATACACACACAATACCCACACAGACTGGTAGGCATACACAGACACATGCACACACAGCAGCACCTGGCTGTAAGGCCTGGAATATAAACCAGGAAAGAGCTGTGGATAAAATGGACTATACTAGTGTGTTTGATTTGTTAAGATCTTACAGATTTAAATTTGGTCTGGTGTGGTGTGTGTCCTGTGTGTGACAGGTGTATCTTTGCTTGTGACACAGTGAGGTATTATACAGCTGCAGCAGAAGAGTGATACTGTTTCTCAAGCGGGGTGAGGAAAGGCTGCAGGAGCAGAGCAGCAGATCTGAAATTGAGGACCTTATATATTTCCTTCAGACACGTGAACTATTTTGTCATTGTTTTCTGCAGCCTGCATCGGGGCTTATCATGCCTCTTCTTGCTTTTTCATGTTTTTTCTGTTTATTTTACTTTTCTGCTTTGACCACAGAATGTTTTGATGAGGAAAATACAATAGACCAAAGAAAGGTGTTATGGGAAAAAAAAACTATAAAGAGGTATTTTCTTACTTTATAATTGTTACGTGTACATGTTTGTTTTACATTACAGAGTCAGAGAGAAGTTGAGTGAATTTTAGCAAAGGAATAAAGTCTTTGCAAAATAGGCAAATCTTTTAAAACTCCCTAATTCATTGTGTACCTTATGCTATACATCTTCCACAAGTATATTGACAAACAGCCTGTGTCTGTTTATAAAAGGAGGAAACTTTAAATAACAGCCCAGGTGTAACTTGACAAGGCTATCAGAAGTACAGAAGGGAGACTGACGCCCTTATACTTTGTTTAGCTTTGGACCAATAAATAGGCCACTGTATCATTTATCTGGGAGCAGTTTTCTTCTTGAAAAAAGAGTAGAACCCACCAACAAAATAAAATCCTTGCCTTATACTCTTCAGAAGCCTGAACAGTTTGGGAGCAGTTTGGGAAAGCATGGCAGACACACATTCTTCTCGGCTGCGGCCAGGTTTTGCGCTGTCCAGTGTGCATGCTCTGGGTGTGGCTCATGGCAAGTACAGCTGTCACTCCACTCCAGCATGCCAACATGTGACTGCAAACAGTAGTTGTAGCTGCCACCTCCTCTTGTGGAGATTAAAGCCCTGTCTGCACCAGTATCACATTTCCATGGACTGGTGTCAATA